CTTTACAATGGAATATATAACGAAATCTATGGTAACTGGGCTTCATCTTAAAAAATCACTCTCAATTTCTTTTATACAACAACATTGATCATTCTTTCGTACTGGACATATCTGGAATTGCTGTTAATCGTGTAATATTATTTTGGTTCCAGTACCATGTAGCTTGGCTAATGGCGGCTGTGACCATCTGTGCTTGCCGACACCTATCCTCGGTTTCAAGTGCGCATGCTCTGTGGGTTTTAGCCTTACCGGATCAACATCTTGTACAACAAGTGGGTAGTTATGCTTACAAAAGATTGATTACTATTTAGTTTGCTATTTTTCGATTTATATATGTTATTTTAAGAGCTCGGACAGAATTAAAATTTATGATAGTATTTTACTCAAATATATTGGCTGAGTAAAAATTACTATTATTATTATTATTATTTTAATGCATTTGATGTTACAACAACTCGAGAACGCGAACATATCCATTCTGTTTGGTTCAACAAAGGTGTTTAATTTGTGAGGACATGCAAATACTGGGGGTGCAAGTATGACAGTGTATTGGTTGGTGTAATTTCAGCCTTGTTACAAGACAATTTTGTCTTGCTGACCGACCCAGGAAGAAAGGAAATTTTTCAGATCGCATTGGATGGGTCTTCTTACAACGCAGTCAAACTGGGATCAGATCACGACTACCCGAGGTAAGGCTGAGTCTCTCTCTCTCTCTCTCTCTCTCTCTCTAGAAATAATTTAAAAATTAGATTACATATCAAGAACAACAATTAATCACAGACGAACGAATCAGTAAACAAACCGGTAATACAGTAATAAATTGGAAGAGATACATACGTTGTACTAAAATAACGTTACACCCAAAAACCATATGGATTTGCCACGCGCGCACTGCACTACATGAAGTGTGTCATAATTGTTTACACATGTTTCAGGGCTGTGATATTTGATTCCGCTGAAAGCAAGATCCTTTGGATGGATACAGACGTCATAAAGAGTGTGGGACTGGACGGATCAGCTGAAGAAACTCTGTACGAATTCCCGCAAGGTACACGTTTTTTTTTTGGCGTTTTCTTTAATGGGAGCAATTACTTGAAATGTAGATGAGACACTAATGACACCTGGCATATGGAATATAATCTACATGTAGCAATTTCCCCATACAACCACTACCAGGTGGTCTGCCTAAAAGCAAAATTTGCTCTGCATGCCCCCCCCCCCCCGCCTCCAAAGCGACCCTACTTCACATTCACTGCTTATATTCGCACCGCCGCCACCAACGTTTTCTCGCCAATAAATAAATAAATAAATAAATAAATAAATAAATAAAGACATAACTAACTTACCTAATAAAGATAGCAAAAATGATGCCAATGAACATTATAATTTATTGCGCAACTTTCCATTTTTTGTTCAGCGGCCATTTTACAGCGTATGGCCCTCGATGTATCCAACAGACTGTTGTTCGTCACTGACGATGGAAGGACACTGATAGGAGTTCTGGACCTGGTTGGGAAAAACTTCAAGACCGTTATAGACTCTCGACTTTACCGACCTCGTGACATAGAGATTGATCCTTGGGAGAAGTGAGTAAAATACTGCTGTGTTCTAAAAAGCTGTGATGAATGTTTTAAGGGACCGTCACAATGAAATAGGTCGACCTAGCTAACGCGGGTCAAATCCACGGGGACTCTTGCTGAAAGCAACCAGAAATTTAACAGGCTAAGACGCCTCTTCTTATTTCCAACTTACTGGTATACACACCAGCTTCTCTGTATTTTACTTAGCACCAGAAGGAGATGTGATAATCAGTTTATCCGGTTGCATTTAGGGAGAGATAGGCCTACTCGTAAAGTTAGAACCCATTAGTTCGAAAGATTTCATTTTGAACGATGATTTTTTTGTTTGTGCATGAAACGATAGGTCTGTGTAACCGCCTTGACATGGTGTACCTGTTCGCATTTCCCGTGCTGCAAACCAAAGAATTTTGAAAAAAAAAAAAAAAAAAACTATAAAGTGTTATAAAGTGCTATAAAGTCTTTAAACATACATTTATCTGCATGGAGCATCTTCGAAAGTGCAACGAAAACCTGTTAGCTTTCTTCGAATCTTTCAGCAGCGAATACTTGAGACACGGTTATTTTATACTTTCACTTTCATATTCTTTTTTTTTTCTTTATGTAGTCGTATCTACTGGGCCGACTGGGGCGCAACTGAAAGCATAAATAGGGCATACTACGACGGTAGCGAAAGAGAGGAAATAGTGACGTCATACCTGTATTTCCCGTTCGGTTTAGCCATTGATGTTCCAGGTAAGTTTTATATCAGAAATTAGGGTGAATTAGGTTGTATTTCCAGAGATTTAGATCGATCCAGGGATTAAAATTTAGATCGACCTAACTCCCTGGGGGTTCACGCTAAATTGCAGTCAGACGAGCGCGCACCATAGTTAATTACCCCCTTACAGCTTTTAGTAGGCGGGACAGACGCTTAAGCCGGCCAAGCTGACAGTAATCTAGTGAGACTCCCCATAGGGATAGATCGATCTAAAAATCTATGGAAATGGGGTGTTAGGTGCTTAGTGTGGTTGAATTGAGACGGTAAGATATGTGTGTGGAGTTAATGAGAATGCGGGTGTTTAGGGTGGGTGGTTGGGGCAATACGAGAGATACTCACTTGTATATAATGATTCATATGTGCTGTCACCTTCTTGTTTCATTATTTTCTCTTTTTTATGTAATTTCAGGTCGCAAAATTATGTGGGCAGAAGGGTGGTATGAAGAAATTGAGGCATCGAACCTGGATGGATCAAACAGAGATACTATATACATTAAACGGAGTTCCTTTTTCCACGGCTTAGCTATATCCGATAGTAACCTTTACTTCACTGATACATGGACAAGGTAAGTGTAGCAGTGGAATCGTTTAGAATCAGATACGTCTCAGTAGCTGCTGTGGAAGTCTGTTAGTTTGTTT